GAGCGATCTAATGACCTACCCTCTGGGCATTATATCATTTTTGACTTATTCGGTTTCGTTGAAAGTTTGTAAACACAACCTTATACACCATGTTGTAACACATGTGAACTTGTGTGTCTGAAGACCAGCCTACTTCAGACTAAAATGGATTAATGTGTAGACTGCCTGGCTGGTAATGTGTAGGCCTACCAATGATTACATCTGCATGATTCTTGGATAAGGAGTACTATCTATTAGTTATGTTAAAATGCATCATGTGTTTATCTACTCAATTTCAGTTTGGTTCATGAAATTGCCAGTGATGCACTGGCTTACGATCCCAACACTCACAGACAGGTGTGTGCTAACATGGCACAGTTTTTATGAAGAAAATATTTTAAAAAACGTCATCATTTTGCCATTATTGAAAAAAATAAAGCAGAATCAAACAGAATTTCTTACATTATGTAGGATAATATTGCCATTCTCATGGGTTGTAGCTGTAGAAAACATAGGGTGGGTGATAGACATTAAGGGTGGGTGGGTGAAACACTGGTAGGGTACACTCTAAATAATAAGAATGGATTTTAAGGATGGAAAAGTGGGTAATAAGGGCTTTAGACTGGGTGGAGAACTTCAAGGCCAGATGGGCACCGCCCCGCCGTAACTACATCCCTCTCTATGGGGCAAAAAACCAGTGCAGGTTCCATAAATTTGCCACCAAAGCAAGCACATGCCTAGTGGGGGAGGGGAGGATTTCCCCGACGAAAGCAATGTGGGCATGGTTGAGCTTCGATTAATAGGTTTCGAAAATGGTCCAGGGGGGTAAAGACCCCGAAAATGTTAACAATTTAGTGGTTTCAAAGGCTAATTTAATCGATTTTAGAGTCTACTAATACGTAAAAAATACATATAATTTTTTTCCTCCCCGATGAACTGTGCTTTTTCTCCCCGGCCACCCCGCTGGCGCCCCCCTGGATTAATCCTGTCAGGTATTAGCCTAAATTTTAAAAAATTACTAGTTTCTCGTCCCTTCAATTTTCTCTGCCTCAGCAATTTTTTTTTTTCTTTATGATGATAATCTGGCTAACCCACATCAGTAAAATTCCACTCTCATTCTTTTGTGGTTGGGGATACATATGGTATGAATCATGTCTAGTGCTTTCAATGTCCACTTGGTAAATTGAGAAACTACTACTACTAGCCTAGGCCTAGTACTGCTAGTAGTAGCGGAGCTGTTGCCATCTCGGAGGGGGGAAAAAATGCCTTCATTCTGTTTTTTTAAAATATTTTTTATTTCTTACTTTTCCTTTAACTAAGGTTTTGTTGGCATATTATTACTACAAGTCATGTTTTTTATACATTTACATGCTTTGTATTATTTTATGTAGGCCTAGGCCTATCTATGCCTGATCTACATAACGAAATAAATCATTCATACTCTATTATGATGTGAAAAAAATAAAGACTACTAACGTCATTTATTGATTTTTTTTTAAATTTCTAAAGAGAAGCCCTGGTATGGTATAAAGCATCCAATTCAAACCAACCCGCTAGACCCAATTTTATACTACAAAGAGAAGTCTATTTAAAACAGCATTGGTTTTTAGGCCTAGCTTAAGGCCCTATTATTACTAGTAGTAGTAGTAGCAGTAGGTCTACTACGCCCTGGCTTATAATCAGTATTAGGCCTAGTAGTGGGCCCTATTTAAGGAATTTAAACAAAATGTTCAAGAAATGCAATGACAACAATAACAACAGGCTACTCAGCCATGAAAAAAGCAAGCGAAGCAAACAAGAAACCCACCGGTCCGTCCAGATGGACAGTGCAGTATGTAAACAAGACCTGGGACAAAAATTTAATAAGTTTAAAAACTTTGAAAAATCCAAATTATATTCAATACCTTACAGCAAAAGCTTTGACAAAATTCAGCAGGCCTACCTCGTTTGAAATCTTGAACTTCCCGGCAGCGTATTTTTTTTCTGCAGTACACATAAGCAAATATATGTTTCTTTTAGCCAATCAGAATGTAGGATGCCTAAAATGACGTCAGATAACTATTGAATAATTAATCAGACGTCAGACACATTTTAAATATTTTTTTTTTCTTACTTTTCCCTTAACTAAGGTTTTGTTGGCATATTATTACTACAAGTCATGTTTTTATACATTTACATGCTTTGTATTATTTTATGTAGGCCTAGACCTATCTATGCCTGATCTACATAACGAAATAAATCATACTCTAGGCCTATGATGTGAAATAAATAAAGACTACTAACGTCATTTATTGATTTTTTTTTTAAATTTCTAAAGAGAAGCCCTGGTATGGTATAAAGCATCCAATTCAAACCAACCCGCTAGACCCAATTTTATACTAAAGAGAAGTCTATTTAAAACAGCATTGGTTTTTAGGCTTAGCTTAAGGCCCTATTATTACTAGTAGTAGTAGTAGCAGTAGGTCTACTACGTCCTGGCTTATAATCAGTATTAGGCCTAGTAGTGGGCCCTATTTAAGGAATTTAAACAAAATGTTCAAGAAATGCAATGACAACAATAACAACAGGCTACTCAGCCATGAAAAAAGCAAGCGAAGCAAACAAGAAACCCACCGGTCCGTCCAGATGGACAGTGCAGTATGTAAACAAGACCTGGGACAAAAATTTAACAAGTTTAAAAACTTTGAAAAATCCAAATTATATTCAATACCTTACAGCAAAAGCTTTGACAAAATTCAGCAGGCCTACCCCGTTTGAAATCTTGAACTTCCCGGCAATACACCTCTCTCTGCTCTGCTCTTCGTCGACTCCCAAGTATTTTTAGTACGTGTGTAATTATAGAGGGCGTTCGCAGCACTGCTAAATTTATAAATGCCAGGGGGAAGGGGGGGGGGGAATTCTTCTGCGCCAAATCATTGTAACTTGATTAAAAAGTTCACAACATAAACGAGCAATTATTCTATTAATTGCAAATTTAATTTTGAATGTTTAATGTAACCAATGTAACTGTAGGCCCAAATTTCAATGTTTAACCTGTTTTTTGAACAACTTGCAAACACTGAAACAGTGAATTTTCATGGATTAAATGAATTGCCGTTGTCATAATCCCCACTATCAACGTACTGTAATTACAACTACCGTACCACAATACAATTAGCCTAATTATATCATCCTTTAAAAGGTTTTTAATGGCACTCCTTTTGGATCACAATTTTGCAATGGATCATAATGTTATTTACTTTTAGATAATTGTATTTAGTGTGCCTTCTCCTAGTTCCATTTTCCATATCCAACCACAGTACTGTAAATTTAATATGATTGTCAAAAATAGAATAAGGAGGGTTTATTTTATTGTAAAAAAAAATCTGTGTTCTTCTCATGCTGATAATTTTTATGTATCTGTCATATATTGTAATAACTTTCACAGTAAAATTATCACATTATTTTTTTAACATATACTTAAATAAATAACCTAAATTGCTCATGGGTTTATATTCAAATTACTTAAGAGAGTTGGACTGAAGCCTTCAACAATAAAGTTAGTCCTAAATTGGAAGAACAATCACCACTACCACCATTGCCACTAACATCACAGTCCGCATCACCACTACCACCATCTTTATTGTCTTAAGTAACAGTAATAGTACAGAATACAATTGTAATTGAGTCATAAAAAATTTATTTCATTACAAAATATTGCACAAACACTAAATGTAAATTAATAAAAAGGAAGAAATGTTCTTTATTATAATTCCATTATATATTTTTTGCATTGTGAGCATCCAAAAACTAAAATCATTCTCACAAGTAGTGAGTCAAACCATTATTCTTGTAGGTTCATTCACAAAATTTAACACATTCTTCAAATTTCTGGCAATAATTTGGAATAAAACTTATAATACAAATTTAAATGTCTATATTTTGAAAGCGAGAGAAAACTTTATTAACATTACAAGAGTTTTTGTTGTAAAAAATACAAAATCATACAGATTGAAGTTTCATTTTTTAAATGGAAAGCAAACAACATAAAACAGAAAAGTATTTAGAAAATAAAACAAAGATAATTCAAGAAAAAGTTGAATTGTATTTTGAAATATTATATAATATTTTTTGTTAAATTTATGGAAACTCTGTTTTTACATTCTTCCTGATATGAACAACTCCTTGTTTTACACTCAGTGTTGGGATCCTACTAACCATCAATATTCAGCATATTTGTCATCAATTATGATTTGCATTTCTTCTCAATATTAAACTCAACTGTTACTGCATTCATAGCAAATTATATCTGCACATGAATTTGCTGTTTACTTCCATAACAGTCACCAAAACAAAAAGAAAATTACAAATGATATATTAATTTGAAATTTATTAATTATTAAATATTTTTACTAAATTGGCATCCTTCTATTGCCTAACGACACCATCCAATTTATGGTATTAAGCTTGGCACATCACTCAGCAGAATGGAGTAATTAGGTCATGAAAATATTTTTTATGCTGTGTTCAAATTAGTTTTAGGCATGCAACACAATGTACCACCCATCTGCTTCTGGTAAACATGTGTGTTGAACTGCACAGAAAATGGCTAGGAACATGTCAACACATGAATCCAGCAAACCAAGCAGTCACTGATTGAACATAAGCACATGTTATCCAGCAACTTGATTACCATTAATGCAAGCTTATGTCATTCTCTTGCTTAACAGCAACAGTTGTAACTGACGTAGAAATATATGCTTAAGTGGTCGGAAGTTGACTACTGGCCTGGCAGCAGATATAACAG